GTTTCTCAAGTACAACATGTACAGGTACCAATACTTTTTTCTCTACTCATCTAGTCTCCAAAATGGATGGGTAGAGGGAAAAAAGTGTCCTCTTCCATAAAGTTGAACGAATAAATGTACCCATACTAATTAAACAAACAATGGAGATTATAAAGAACCAAAAGTCACTAGCAATGTTCCTATAGGAGATGGCGCGTTAACCTATGGGGGAAAAAAGGCAATTTCCTAGAGCCTCCACCAACAGGAGGCCCAAACCAATCTTTTATAAATTCACTACTGTAGTAAGAATACCGAAATTTGAATCTGGCGCCATATCTGGGAACCCTAGATTGCTAGTGTGACGCAGATGCAAGGCGCACTGGCTCAGCGAAGAATTTAATCCTCCAGAGGATACTGGGAGATAACCCCCAAAAATTTCCCGAAGAAAAATATCTGAAACAGCACTGTACTTGGGGCCTCCTTAGTTCAAATTTGCCTGCGCCCCATGATGCTGTATCGCATCACTGCCTATAGGAAGGCGAGAGACAGACAGACTTAAAATTGAGAAGGTAGAGATGGGTATGACGGAGAGAGGATTGAAAAATGGAACATAAAGAGGAAATCAAACTGGACAGTGCCCATATAACTTATTGTTTGATATAGATCTTGAATTAGCTGTCGAAAACTAACTCAAGCGACGGATTTTTCAAGATCTGTCAATGAAGAATGCCATAAATATTATCATTAAACAAAATCAATTCACATCTAATATACCGAAAGCAGTGATATAATTATCCGTTTTAAAAATGGCGTGATCAATAGCGTATAAAAGTTCGTATAACAAAGGAAACAGAACAAGGAACTTGATATTTAACTAATACAATTTTAATTCTTAATCAATGGTAGATTGCCAGGTACTTGGGATAGAAACTAGGACAAAATCATCTCTCCCCGAAAGATATGAGACAAGTCAATTCCATGACATGCAATAGACATGTACTTTTACTCTGCCAGTGATATAAATATATTTAAAATGTAGAAAAAAGATACTTTATTGTAGGAACAGTTTTTTGAATAAAGCCCTCCTATCGCCAGATAATAGTCGGAAAAAACCTCTTACGCGCACAAATATATGCTGATATTGGTCTTGGTCCAGTACTAATTAGTATCATGGATCTGGCAAAATATCAATATCAGGCTTTACATTATATAAAAGAGGCGTTACAAATCACGTTTGTTTAGTATTTCCCACAATCCAAAATCGTCACTTTTTTTTATAGTTTTCGGGTAGAATGACAACAAATTCAAACAGCTACAGTGTAAGTCCGAGTTCGATTTCCGTTCGGAACGACTTATGCTTTTCCGAATGGTCCTCCATGGTTAACTAGATTGGAAGAGAGTATACAGTATGCTATACAGTTTAATATTAGGTTATAGAGAATGTGCACTACTAAAAATAGCAACAACATACCTTAAATGAGTCCTGCAGTGACATGGATACCGATGCCACATTCTACAAATTTAAATAATCAACCTTTTGAACAATATTTCAATTACTTCTTTTAAAGTATAAAAATTTATAATGTAGAATCATCTGGAATAAATGGAATAATTAACTTTGTCACTGATTCTCTTGATCCAGCAACCTCCTATCAAAAACAACGTCTTAACTTTCGACCTACATTTGGAAAAGATATCAATCTGTCGTGACATACGCCATATATCTTTCAGTAATACTTTTTATCCCTCTTAAAGTGAACTTTTTAAAAAGAATTTAAGCCAGAACTTTAATATTTCTTAGAATTTCAAAATGTTCACGTTTACACGTAAAAAAACACGTTCAAATATTTGTTAATTTAGCATCGAAGAGTGTTTTAAGAACACACTTCAATGCTTCGTAAATTGCTCTCCAAATTGGTCGGTTGATTGAAAATGCACGGTGACTCAAAAATTAGTTAACCGAGATAATTTTAAGACGGGTTAAAATCGGCTTGCAACATTTGCGAAAAGAATAACTTGGTTAACTGGATTTTGGGCTACCCTGTAAGGCATAAATAATAATCGAAATAGATAATAATACACCTACGTCAAATTTCATTAGGATGAAAACATTTCTCGAAACAAAAATTATCAACGAATTAATTGTTTTCGCCCAATATTCATTCGTAAAAAAAGTATGTTAATTTTAAATTTACGCCATACATGGAGGGCCTCCGAGTTCGAAAGAGGCCCAGGCCAATAAACCATTTTGAGGCCCCTAGTGTACTTAAAAAACATACAAAACTACGTTAAAAAGTTATATTTTTGTTTTAAATAATAAAAATTTTTACAAAAAAACAACGCTAGAATCAATACTAAATGTTCTTGTTTTTATTTATAACAAATACTTTTTTCTTAGGCCCCCTAAGTGCGAAACCTGGGTGCAGACGGCTCTACTGGCCTTCTCGTGATACATTCCATGTACCGTACACGTACCCGAAGAGGGGTGGAAATCAAGAATGTGTTGCAGGTATATAAATTCGACCCCAGTGCAATAAAAGACTTTAGCGACGATGTAACTTAAGTGTTTATTGCAGCCAAGTAGAAAAGCTTCCACAGGAAAACATTCTGTAACAAAGACGTTGCTTCCGGTTTTCTCGCAATTTTTACCTACTAAAGAATTTTATTTAATATTTTCAAGTTAGAAGCTTCCATTTTTTAAATAATAGATTTATTTTTTTTTTCTTATTTTGGCCCCATTAAGCTTAAGATGAGAATTTAAAAATTGAAGATCTCGAAATACTTTATAAAGAAGTGGATTTCTGTAATTGATCTCTGTAATTGAGATGCGGGATTATGTTTGCCATAACACAATGTAACTTCAATAACACGGATGATATTGTTCTTAGTAATGTCGTAAAATTCTTGGCATTAACCTTCATAAGAATTCGTCAAAATCTCTTTTTTCTTGGAAGTAAATTCGTAATTTGTAAGGATAATTTTCATTGTTTTCTGGACAAACTCGTAAAACACTTGCACAATCGATATTGGCTGATGGGTATTCTATTTACGATCATCTTTATTGTATTTTCCCCCACAGAAAGTACTGATTTTTTAAAATATTTTTTTTTTTGCATTTTATGCAGAAGATAAGAGTAAAAACTTTACACTAAAGACTTTCCTATTGCAATGAGCTACTAGAAAAATATCGATTTATAAAAGTAGCAGTCAAATTTGCTGACTTTGGCTTCAAATTCACTAGTTTTTCCCCCTCTTCCCCGATCGATTTGCATACTTTTTAAATAATCATTCGATGCAGATATTACTAAAAATCGATTTTAATATGTAATTATTTAAGTCGATGATCGAATCGACGTAAATTCTGATCAAATAGCCCTTAAATTATTCTCGAATAATGCGAATTTTCATAGTTTAAAGCTGCATCTAACTGGCTTATACTATAGAGAATCGCTTTTTAAAGTAAACTCCATTTTAAAAAAAATCATTAATTTTAAGCATCTCCATTGTCTTTGCCACTAAATCAAATTGTCTAAGTCCGTAATTTTGCATATTGCTGTTTAATTATTCACATTATTGTCACCGCACGCCTTGGAAGAATTCAGTTTTAAGTGGAGCATTTGCGTTAGTTTGCATTATTAATTTTTAATAACGAGATTAAGATGCGTATCATTTAAATGAGATAAAAATAATAATAAAGAATAAATTTATTGTCGTAAAGAATATCAGATGTTATCATCTCATATTCTCTACGACAGTAAGTGCAAAGAATCCTTCAAGGGTTCTTTGCACTTAGAAAAATTGGAGTCATAATTCAATTCTTTGACCTTTTTATTAATATTAATAATAATAAATCCATAAATTAAAGAAGACTTTGACCTTGTCTATTAATAACCTTACCAACAATTCTTCTTATATCGCCTGTTACAAAAGCCTACGCTATATAAGTTAATTATATTTACGTATGTGTAAATTGTAGTTAGTTTATTAATCAAGATATAAATTAATAATTAATGCGATTAAGATCTGGCTCACAGACAGACCTTGCAAAGTCCTTTCGGATTATATTGTTGTTTTCGCGAAACCAATTTATTTGATTGTCTTTCAACAGAAGTAATAATAAGTGAAAACTGGATTGCGATCCAATTGCTACTGGTAACAATAGACGTCAGTTGTTCGTGAAATTATTCAAATTGTTCGAGCAATGTAATAGATTCGTGTAAGCTCGAGTAATAAGATTAAATTCGGCAGTGATGTTGCATGAACTTATATTAATCCCCCGTTTATTAAAAGGTTAGAGATTTAATCCCTATAAAAACCTTACGTTCAAATATATGATCCATATCTCATATTGATAGAGACACTGAAATAACTAATTTACTTAAAAAGTCCATGTCAATATATGAGGTATGGATCATATATTTGAATGTAACGTTTTATAGAGATTGAATCTCTAAATATGACCTTAGATTAATCCTCCATTTATTCAAACTTCATACACTAATTGAGATAATTATAGTGTCTTCATAATAAAACTTTATCTCAATTAGTGTATGAACTTAGATTAATCCATCAATTATTCAAAGGTCATTTAGAGATTCGATCCCAACAAAACCTTATATTTGAATATACGATCCATACTTCACACTGATATAGACAAATGGAGAAACACTAATTATAGTGTCTTTATAATAAAACTTAATCTCAATTAATGTTATCAACGAGTTCTCCATTATTATTTTATTTATATCCTTAAAAATTTCGCATAGGCACACAACTTTAGCCTTATTTTAATTATTTCTATGCCATTTTTAACGTCACACTACACGAGCTCCCTCCCCCTCTTAACACTACATTTTATCACCTCTCTTACTTAGTTTTTCAATAATTTATACGGCGTGCAATTATGGAATAAAATATCTTAATGCCTCCATTAATTATCAATGAATATTAATATTCATAACGCAAGATAACAAACGAATTTTATTAATTTAGTATTCGTAATAATAGATTATTATTATTATTATTCAATTGTTTTTTTTTAAATTTTAAACGCTTTCGTCACGAATTCCGTGACGTTTTCGCATGACGCGCGACGTCTTGTCACACGAGAAGTATGACATAACGTGTGTGAATGACCCCTTATTATATTGGGAAAAAGTATTGTTTTTCTTATTAAAAAATGGATCGTTCTCGGTATTTATTAAAACGGACGACATTTTGACAAGTCGATAAACTTTTGTTTATTATTTGTTGACGAGTAATTTCGTGTGTCGTAATTGCCGTTAACTCGAATCATTACTAAAAAAAATTGATTAATTCTAACGGCTTTTGTTTAATAATTCATTCGAAAATGGGAATTATATTTTAAATTTTAATTACTAACGTTCTGTGACGTGAAACGCGTAACAAGTAGTCATTCGAGTTACGGAAAGACAGTTGAAATGGCACACGTGTTTTAAATATTTAACAGGTGTTTTAATCTATTTTTGAATTTAGAATAGGAAATATATTAAATCGTTGATGTGTACAGCAAAACCTGTCCAAAACGGACACCGTTCAAACCGGTAGTGTGCGATTCCAGTTTACACAGGTTTTACTGTATACGTACGGGCTCAGAGAGTCGGTTGCACTGTATACGAATACGTACAGTGTAACCTCCGAATAGCGGACACCGTCCGAGAAGTTTGACCGCTATTTAGAGTTGAATGTAAGAGACGTCCTATTCGATTGTAAAAACCTCCGTTAGCGGCGGTTTCGCCGTATTATCTAGTGGAGGGTCGAATCGCCCTCTATAACTAAATATATACGCGTCTTAGTTTCTTATTTATTTACTCATTTTAAAATTATGTATTAAAGAGAAACGTGAATCATGAAAATACATAAAATACGCGTATAAATGTAATAAGCAGAAAGGACGAATCGAACGTTGTCACCGCCAAATTTAGCAGTCGCCAATAAGGACCACTTCCGAAATGACGAAACGCGTGGAAACTTTCTTCCGATAATTTTTAAATAAAGCGCCTCCTCCGCCACTTCGCCTTCGTCCATTGGTTGCTCGCGCCATTTTGGCCATGACGTGGAAAGTGGCATTAGAAAACGGAAAGCCAAGAAGCTAAGTCCACTCACTCGGGAGAGGCGATCGCTAAGGAACCGACCGACGTTGTTATGGTTACGAGAGCGCGTGAATTCCGTTACCATTAGCAACCATCCATCGAGATCGTCGAGTCAGACGCTTTCGGTCGGCCAGCCAAGTTCGTCTGCCAGAAACAAGGTAATGTATATTTATATATATAAATACATATTTTTTATTATTATTTATTCTTAATTTTTTCGCTTATTTAATAAATAAATTACGTCGTTGGTATTTACCGCGACGTTTCTTAAATAATAACACGCCAGGTTGTGTTTAATTAAATAGGCTTAAAATGGAGGTTCAAAACTATATATTTTTTTTCCTGTTTAAAATTCAAAATTATCTTTTAAATTAATTTTTAAAAGACAAAAATAACGATGTAATACGATTTGTGTGTTAAAAAATTCGTGTTTTTTCTTCTCTTTTTTAATACTAGAAAAAATATATATATAATATACGTTACCTTGTGTTAAATTTAAAATTTTGAAATACGTCACGTCACGTGAATTACGTCTCGTGTCGGTGTCGTTCGAGTGTTTCTAGAACGATATTTTTGAATTTCTATTAAAATTTTTACAGTTTTTCGGACGTAAATTCGTGTTTTTTTAATAGGAAACTTTCGGTTTGAAGTGTGGATTAAAGCGTAATTCGATTTTATGTGTTTTAAATAATAATGATAATTTATATAAATGTTCTCGTCGGACATTTTGGATATAGTTTTGAAGCCATCTTTTTTAAGTGTAAGGTTTATTAATAGTCCACGTGTCTCAGGAAATTTTAAGGTTGTAAGCTATCAGAAACGTTACTATTCCCGCCAACTTCGGGTATTTTTTTTAAAGGAGATTAACCTAACACGTACAACGAATAATTCATAAATTTAACTTTAGAGTTTGTAGGTATGTCTGTCCGTTATTAAATTCTCCATTAAGTTGCGCTCCTCCACATGCCAGCCCCTATTAAATAGCAACAGTTTTGTGGTATCTCACTCATTATAAATTAATAATAATAATAATCAGTTATGACGACAAATCGGAACGTTAACGACGGCTTTATGTTATTGTTTTCCGGAGGAAGGGGGGACGAAAACGGACGGATAAACGAGGAAGCGTGGCCATGTCACACCGTACTGGCTCTTATCGTAGTGTCTTCAACCAGCCACTGACCCGAAAACAATATTATCTTTTGTCTTATTTAACCCGGTCCCATTTATTTATCCGGCGAGAAGCTCCCCATTGGGTGTGATTTGTTTCGAGGCGTGGTTTGGTAACCTTCACCCCGCCAGGCATTGTTGCCCATCGATTTGCCACGTCCAAACACGCTCACGCATTCTTTCTTTAATTAAAAACTATCGGTTTTTGAATGGCGATCGATAAAACCGAGAAAGTTACGACGATCCTCCGTTCGCAAATTGCCTCTTAAAACACAGGAAAAAAGGGGAAAACGCCAGCCAGAATCCTTCCGACGCGCGATAAGAAGAAAGGCATTTTTTAAATAAATTTTCGTGTTACAAAATTTGCATAACGGGAGTGTCTTCCGGTTTCAAAAACTGGACGGAAACACTCCGGAAATTCGATTAAATTTCCTACACAAACGATTATTATAAAACAATTAGTAATGAACCGGGAGGGGAAACTACGTTAGCGTCACAGACAGTTCAATCGATGGATGGATATTGTTTTCCTTCGACACTCCATCATCAATCAAGCCGGACTATAGGTCAAGCCTTATCTACTTTTTCTCCCCCGCGTGGTTCCTTACCATTCGTTTTTTGGCACCTTGCGAACGAACGCCAGGAGAAACGACCGTTTAAGTCGATACCCGACGGGCGGTGCACGTGCCCTTTGATGGGAGAGAATCTACTAAGCAGGCTGCAACTCGAGGCCTCGTACCTATTAAGTGCCAGACCCATTCGGGCGAACAATTATCGTGGGTATTTTAAGAAAGTTTCGCCTTTTGTCACACGTTACCCCCAAAACAATTTCCCATTATTTAATTTCTTCGATGCCATCGTATTTTAGGGGGAAGGGGGGACGAAAAACGATTTAAAAGTTATCGTAATAAAACGACCAGATGCGAGACATTACCGTGAAATTGTTCGCAGCCGTTCAATCTCTTTTAGTCATACGACGTTTAGAGTATAAAACGACTTTACAACCGACCTTGGCCATTTTATGTCCGGACGCCATATTTGTTATCGGATTAAGAACGCGTATAGAGTCGGATGGGAAGGGATGACTTTAAAGTAATTTAAATCGTCCTCCTCACCCGTAAAGAGGACAGTCGATAAAATTCGAAAGGTTCGTTTTTTAACAACTGATTGACTATTACAATTATTATAACAGGGTATAATTCTATTAATTACTGCGTGTTCCTTGTGTGATATTATTCTCCAAGAAAATTCATGCTCATAACAAAGGTTATAACTAATTCTTTCCATATTTTAGGATACTTTTACCAAGATGTATGCAAATTAGTGGATTACGTTAATAATAACGCATTGATTTGTTAGGGGTTGGAATATAAAAAAATAATTAGTCGTCACCTTTTTATATATCACATTTTTAAACTTAACGGATTAATTTATCTTTCGGGAATTATTAATGCGGTTATCGGCTCTAGAAAACTCCATGGAACACGTGGTCCACCCACACAAGACGTCATGTTTACAGAAGTGTGACGCTCTATTATTAGTCGCGCACGATGCGTCCGCGGTGTTTTTCCTCATCGTCAATTGGCCACGTTTTTTCGTTAGTAAACAGAAATTGCGTGACGCCGTCGCTCCGTGGCAGGGACGTGTCGTGTACGCGCCGTTAATCCCGGTACCACTATTTTAAAGGCGCAGTAACCAAGGTAACCGCCGCCGGCTTTAATTAACGTTAATTTAGATATAGATTTTCCTGCAAAAATTTCTGCTTTGGCTTCCATTCCCCCCCCCCGTCCGTGACCGACGAGAAATACCCCAAATTGCAATTGGTGTGTTAATAAATAATGCAATTTATTTATCTTCGCAGTTCCATCCCGTAAACAGCGAATCGATTCCCGTTGCAGGCGAATAAGAGGTCACCTGTTGCTAAGATACGCGCGATCACGTCACGGGATTAGGTATTTTCCTTTTATTCCCATAAACCGATGCCCAGATTATCGCGTGTAACGAAAAAGGGCACGAATCTGGCCGCCGTCACCCGTTACGCCAGTTGCGTATTTACGCGTATCGTTGGGCTCCCGACGTAATTTTCCTATTGTCTAGTGTGACGATTTTGTTTTCGTTGTAGGGATGGACAACTACACGTCTCTCGCTCTGACTGTCCACAGAACAGACGACGATCCTGTCACTTGGAACAGCGTTTTGCGTTTGGTGGTATTGACTTTGGTATCCACGTGCGGTAGCATCGGGGGTATATTCGTCATAAGTGGAGTGGTGGTGGTGGAACCCCTTCAGACACGCGGCAACATCTACCTTGTCAACTTCGCCCTCGGACACTTGCTGGTGACAGCCCTGGTGCTGCCGTCGTACTGCGTCGCCATCTTGGCCGGGATTCCCAACGAGAGTACTTTCTGCACGTTTCAATGGCTGACCACGTCTGTATGTTTTATAGTGTCCGTCCTGTCCGCCATGTTCGTGTCCATCGACAATTTCCTGGGGCTGGGGCAGGTGGTGACTTACAACGTCTGCTGCACAAAAGGTAAAATCATCTTTTCCGTTTTCTTCAGCTGGATGGCCGCTATCGGATTCGCCGTGGGCCAACACGTCATGGAATACGGACCCGTTCTCTGTCAGCTGACTAACAACCCGCGCGAATTGACGTGGTTACCGTATCAGATCGCCATGGGCTGTTTTTTGATATTGTTGCCGCTGCTACTGTGCATCTGGTACTTCACGCGCTCCGTCATAAAACTGAAGAGTTTCAAGCAAGAAATGACACAGCTGGACAACCCGATGGCTTACGTCCTGACCGACGAGCACCTCCTAAGAAGCAATATCGTCATATTCATCCTGATGCTGCTGATGTGGATGCCTCTAGTTGTGTCTTCTGCAATTAACGTCGTCATGCCGATCGATATCAATTTAATCAGCACGTCCTGGTGGGTGGCCGTCACCAATTCCTGTATTTACAGTTACGTGTACGCGGCAACCAATAAGGAATTTCGAGAGGCATTCAATAAGCTCTTCTATTACTGCTGCTGTAAGAGTCACATAACGATTTCCAGACGTCAGAGAGACATGCACAGAAGCGGCAACGGGATCGGCCTGAGAGTACATATCATTCCCAGTCTCAACATTTATGCACAAAGAAAAGAAAACTTCAAAGAGTCCAAATCTCCTTACGATCTCTAAAACACAGAGCCATCGAGTGTGCCTTGAGCAATAAAGGATTCCAGAAACGAAACTGAATTTCACACTTAAAATCAAAAGCGCTTAGTGTTTAAGGTGCATACGGTATTTTTATTTATTTATTTATTTATGTGGAAACAATATATGCAAGACAGGTCATATAATTCTTTACGGAAATCTTACGCTAGTAGTCGAGCCCATCATAAACACACGACGTTTTCGAAAATTTGGCAACTTTTAGTGCCATCCTCTCTAACTTCTGAAATATTCCTTTCCAATTCGTTATAAATGATAGAAAAAAAACTATCACACTGCCCTTAAGACTGTTAACGTTGGAGCTAATTTTGCAAATCGATTAAATGTGGGAAATTATTTAAAAAAAAATAATTAATTAATAATAATCATCAAAATATTTTATTAAAAAAAAAGAGGAGGGGGGAAAACATTTTTTTAAACTCAGAATATTCCATCCAGATTGTTAAATAGCAGTTATCATTAAATATATCCTATATTATCTCATATCTATCAATACATATACACAAACACATGAAAGAAAATTGAATAGTCATTGTTGACTTTCTGAATAATATCTACAAAAGTGAATAAATAAATATTTATAAATTATTTTAATAAATGTATAGTCTATAAAGTGAAGATGGTAATTTAGTAGAAACAACAACAACAAAAAAAGAGAAGAACAATTTTCATAAAAGATTTCAATTTCGAAGTGTAGCCGGTGATAGTTTCCTGATTTCATAATGTGTAATATTCTATGCTTATTTGTGTATGAACTGAACATACAAAACTGTTATAAATACTTCTTTTTTTGATTTAATAAAATTTACAGATATTACAGTCTGATCCGTGATGACTCGTTTTCCTGTATATTATACTGAGACAAAGTCAGATATACAAATTATTTATTCACTGTATCAAATACTATAAGTTATACAACTTTATTTTCTGAATAACATTCAATTGTTTTTAAATCGGCAACTCAGAGATGATCCAAAGTAATAGGAAACAAAAATGAATAACAAATTTCTAAATATGGAGATATTGTTTTATCAAACTTTAGAGAATATATATATATATATATAT